AATAATTTAATTAAATATAATTAGATTAATTTCTAAACCAAGAAGTTTGACGGAAAAGTTAATGAATTTGAAATTTTATTAACGGAAATCGCGTAACGGAAATGGACAAAGTTTCGGGTTGTCACACTTTTTATGGATTAGAGAATGAAGACCCTCATAAACATTTGAAGATGTTTCATATTATTTGCACTATCATGAAGCCACAAGGGTCAACCGATGACCAAATCAAGCTAAGGGCATTCCCCTTTTCATTGGCCGATAGAGTAAAGGATTGGTTATTCTATCTTCCCCCGGGGTCAATCAACTCATGGACCGACATGGCAAGAGCTTTCCTTAACAAGTTCTATCCCGCTTCAAGAGTCTCAAGTCTCAGAAATGAGATTTGTAGAATCCGCCAATGTCAAAATGAGACTTTTCATGATTATTGGGAGAGGTTCAACAACTTGTGCTATAGTTGTCCAAAACATCAAATTCTGGAACAACTCCTCATCCAACACTTCTATGAGGGATTGTTGCCAATGGAGAGAAGATTAGTTGATGCCTCAAGTGGTGGAGATGTCTTTAGCAAAACTCCACAACAAACAAGACAACTCTTCAACACCATATCTGTAAATTCACAACATTTTGGCCCGCGCCAAGACATGAAGAGAGAAACTCAACAAAAAGTCTGAGGTGGGAACATCAAACCTCGAGTCTCAAATCAAAGACTTAACCTCCGTTGTTCAAAAGCTAGCCATGGGGCAAACTCCACAAGTGATGGTTTGTGGAATATGTGCAACAATGGGACATCCTACAGATATGTGTCCCATTCTCCAAGAAGATGCGGAACATGTGAATGCCACTGGAGAGTTCCAAAATTACCACAACAAACCATCCGGTTACCAAAATGCATACATTTCATGTTGGAAGCCAAATCCCAACATGAGCTACAACCCAAGACCATTGCCTCAAAATACATTGGTTAGACCTTCCTACCCACCACAACAACCTCATTACCAACACCCACAACCACACTATCAACCCAAACCGCACCCTCCACATCATCACCAACAACCTCCTCAATCCCAACCAAGTAGCTCTGGAATGTCTCTTGAAGACATTGTCAAATCCTTAGTCACCAGTACCCAACAATTCCAAAAAGAGACAAGAACTAGTATCTCCAACCTTGAAGCACAAATGGGAGATATAGTTACATCTTTAAGCAAGTTGGAGTCCCATGGCAAACTCCCTTCTCAAACCGAAAAGAACCCAAATGTTAATGTGGTGACTTTGAAAAGTGGTAAACAAACCGGAAAAGTAGTTCAAAGAAGAAGCCAATGGGAGAAGAGGAAGAAATAGAGATCACTCCCGTTGAGGATCCCGTTGTTAAGAATGCTACACAAGCCGGAGTTCCAAAGAAGATTACCCCTCTAGTGACTCCAATAGCCACTCAACCGTCATTCCCCTCCTGACTTGCAACTTCAAATAAGAATATGGAGGAGAAAGATATTTTGGACACATTCCGAAAGGTGGAAGTAAACATCCCTTTACTTGATGCCATCAAGCAAATCCCTAGATATGCAAAGTTTTTGAAGGAGCTTTGTACCAACAAGAGGAAGTTGAAAGGAAACGAGAAAATCTCAATGAATGAAAACGCATCCGCGGTTTTACAAAGGAAACTTCCACCCAAATGCAA